TATTATTATTCTTCAAGAAATATAATCTCAATCTGTTTCACAGTTAAAACAATGAATTTCTATAAGTAGTGAAAGTTTTTCATCACAAGTAATTCAGTCATTATTGTGAAATAAATTTTATCAGTTAGGAATGTTTTCTCTCTCTCATTTTCAAGTTAAATAGAATTGATATTAACTGTCATTAGTATTGAATAAAGTTAGTGGCAATACAGTGTACTTAAAAGTTAAGTTTCAACTGGATAGCAGGTTCGATTTCTAGTCTACTTATTTCAGTTTCAACAATTAAGTAAGATTGTTAACCCTTATACAATTAAATAGCTATTGCAAATTTTTTAAAAACAATTTTATTTCGTAAAATATGTATATTGTTGATTCAATAGATCTACATGATCTATACGTTAGGTAATAAAGGAAGCGAGGATGCGCACTGCTGAGGAGTCCCATACTGGGACGAAACGACCGTCCAGTGCTCCCAGGTTTCCCATGGTAGTCTAGCTTCAATTGACTCATGATTTCAACCAATGAAATTTCTAAAAATCTCCACAAAACTCCGTCTGAAGCTTCAGCAATTGAATTAACAATATTGTCGTTTGAATAAACTAGCGTCTGCTCATCTTTATCATAATCAATTAATGGGAGAGTTTGTAAATATATCCAATATTTTTTACTATTATTATTATTATTACAGAATCTTAATGTATTTTTTATTCTTTTTTCTCCCTTGACAAATTAGCTACCCAAACACAATATATGAAAACAAAACATCATTTATACATTATGCATGACGGTCGTATTAATATGTGCGCTTTAACTACAAACAATATTGACCATATTGCACAAGCTATACATGATACGGTTATTAATGTCAAAGAATAATCACTGGAAATTACTGATTATGAACAAAATTTTGTTTAGAATAAATAAAGAAAAGAATACGGGATATATGTGTAGTTATTTTCCTCTTTCATGTTAGTTACAATTTTCATATATTTATTCTTTTTTTAAAAGGAGAGATTAAAGAAATTAACAGTTGGTTGCCTTTCTTCTTCTTCATCATTATATCGACGTCGTCATCATCATCATGACACAATATTCCTTAGTTCTATCATGTTGGTTTTCACCATTTACTTCTTCATTGATACATTTCTTTCATCCTAATGTATTTCTTCTACCACTGGTGTATTATACACGAAGTGTTTTCTTATTTATATGACCATTTTTCTCCTATTATTAGTACATTTATATATGATTGAATATTTGTAGTATTTTGTATTAGTTACTACTACTAATGATTGAGATGGCAGGTTATATCCTTTTTTACTGCACTATTCCTCGTTCTTTTGTGTAAGGTTAGTATATTGTATTTTTATTGACAGCATCTACTAATAAATGTGCGAATAGATAGTAGTATATGAAGTTTTGGAAGTATATGTTTTTCATTTTTATCGTAAATTAAATAAATAAGTTTGTATGGTTTTGATGTTTTTCTTTTATAATTCCGTATCAATATTACATGCATGTTGAAAATGCTGTTTTGCGATTAAATGAAGGCTTTTAGCTCTAGGTTGTTTCAATTAGAAATTCGTCAATAGAGCAGTTATTCTGGGGTTTTTTTCGCACTAACTAGACATCTAAATTTGCTAAAAATGTTCATGAATTTATTCATATGTTATTAAGAAACTTAGACCAATGTGATTGTAGTCTTGCTAAACAGTTAGACGAACACCTTTCGGCAAATGAATTTATTACTCATTTCTTACGTAAGTTATCTAATCCGAAAAATACGTGATCTAATTTGACCAGTATTTGTCGAATAAGTCCTCAACTAATGCGGTATCTTTCAGTTTCCTAATTAGATAAGCTTTATATGGACATGTGCACTTTAATTTACTGCATTTTAAGGATAAACTAACTTTTTGATCTCAATAACTAAAGGTGAATAATAACGTTTCTTTGATACAATCTTATCCATTAGGCTCGTTCTATTTCCCGCAAATTATTTTATGTATGATTAACGGATGATACGAGGCCGTATATAAATGGTTATAGAAGAACGTAATAGCTAACAAACGTTTGTTCAATACATAGTCAATCAAAATCGTTAGTCGTCAAACTATTCAACATTAGTACCGTTTGTAACACAAGCTTCGACATTTGTATTGCAGAATAGAATTAGTAGGGTTTATTAGAACGCGATTTTGGTTTTGTCACGACTGTAGTGAATAACTCTAAAAAATGTCTGACTCACACTTACGCATTGGTGTTAATCGCCCAGTATTCTACATTAAAAATCCGGGATATTTCATTGGAAGGGTAACAGACAATGTATTATTAGACATTATTGCAACTTGGGACGAGGCCATGCCAATCTTTAGATGAATCATTTGGTTTATGCTGACTATCAGTCTACAGAATGAAACTACTGAAAATTAAAAAAGGAAGTATTATTGAGCTAACTATCCGAGTGGCAGCAGGTCCTACTACTCATCAAAGTCTATTGACCAGGGTATTCTATGGAATTCGGCATCCCTTATAGATTCGTACCTCGAAAAATCAACTATAAGACAACACAAGTCCAGAATTAATTTTATGGCTGATCCATATGGAATACCTAACCTAAATAAGTAGATAACTTTCTAACATTTAGAACAACAAGTCTTAGTGCTGATATAAATAATGTGAGCACTCACAGGGATAGATATTCAGCCAGCTGACAAGTAGTAAGTGGGAAGAAACTGGCGTTCTGTATATTTGTTTGACTCATCTATTCATAGGGCTTATGCTGACTCATACTTCGAGCGCTGAGTGAGAAGTGACTAGACAAACTAGATATTGTCGTAGCATGAATACTTTAAGTTTAATAATGATTGAGAAATATGTACCGATAAGGTTTTAATTTTTTATTTAAACACATAAACATTGGTACAAAGAGGCATCAAATAGATATGCGCCACATAAATCACTCGATTTGTGCGAGGGCTGGGATACTGCTAAGGTGCCCGGGTCGAGGCACATGGTTTTCTTAGGGGGCCACACCTGGAGCCTTCGACCTAAATGTTTGATCCACAAGGTAGTGGAGCAACGTCAGGAGATGCAGTCCCATGGTAGCCGGTGAGCAACAACAGGTTCATACGCCGTTTGTTCCTTCAGGATCCTGGAGCCAGTCCATGTGCACCACTGATTTGGAATCAAGGTTTTCCATTTCTCCTTGGTGGACTCTCCGTGTCCATTGGGACTGAGTTATCTCCCTTTATTACTTTCGGAATGTACACAAGTGACTAGTATGGTCCAATTTCAGATAGGTACATTTGTCCTTTAGAACCGATTTTTATACAGGCGGTCGGTAGACACCTACGATAAACATTTATGCCATTGCATAGTTTTAAGATGCATCCATATTCTGTCATACTTATGGGTCGTTCAATAAAGTAAGACACAGCGCACTAAGACCATGGAAATCATAGATAGTTAGGGAAATTAGCCTAATTGCACTCATTTTTAAATGCCACCAATTAGTCATAGGCTATTATGAACCTTGAATCAACCATAATAACTGTTTCCGCAATGTTCGAAAAAATTTGTTTAAAGGCTGAGTTATTTAATCATTCAGTTGATGAAACTTTACAGACAATCACTTAAGATTGAGTTGATAATCTGGGTAGAACTCACATAACACAATGAAGCAAGAAATTGTCTTGGCTGTATTAAGTGGACAAGATTTAGTTGCTCGATGAACAGTTAAATGAACTATAAGCTTTGTTCGATCAAGTCGAGCATCAATTTAAGATTTGAATGTAAGTGACTTTAGATAATCTTGCGAAACTTTGAGTAGATGTAGTCTTCTGCTCTTCTAACTTGCGGGCTGTTCTCCACCAATCACAAGATTGTTTGTTTCAATCACTAACAGAATGCCTATCAACAACTTAACATCTAGTTTCCTGTATGTTTCTTATTGGTATGAACAAACCACGACTGAAAGTTTATGACTAGAAATTCACGAATTAGTGGGGATGTAGAAATGCGATGCGTTAACTCAAAGCAGTACACATTAAGATTCACAACTTAAATAACTAAGTATAAATTTTATCGTGATATTTGATGAAAGAGACTGAAGGTTTGATAACTTTGTCAGATTTCATACATAAAACACAAGATAGATTAAAGTACCTATTGCTTCTTAAAGTCTATAACTTTCAACAATTAGTTTTTTCCTACCACCACCGTGTTTGTCTTGATTCAGTTTACGGGCTTTATCAGAAACCACTTATATTATCATTAGAATACACCACTATACAACAATTAATGGAAGACGACCAAATAATTTAAAATATTGGGTTGAGACATTGTTGTTATAAGCGCTAGCAATATTCGGTTAACAAAGGTGACCGTAAGAAGTAGGTTCTTTCATACAACCAGTTACTCTACTCAGCAACCTACCAAATATATGAGATACAATCTTATTACAAGATTAGCGTAAACAAAGCTATACTAGCTATAAAGAAAAAAACTAAGATAGTTAAATATAGCCTGTATTTGATGTAACTAATAAATATTTCAAGCACGTAAAATAGCAGAATTTAAATGTACACATCACTAATATATAGTGGTTTTTAATAAATATATAACTGACATACATAGAAATGTTGACTTCAAAACAAATTCGAACAAAAGACAACACGAAATAAAAGTTAGTTGATGGTAGGCTGAACACTTTGGAAACATTTGGATTCTGGAATGTTTTTCAGTGATTACATTGTGACAAATTACGAAGACAGAACTAAAGAAATTTCTCTGCGTTTGTACAACAAATTATCATATTATGTTAAAATAATATCCGGTGAAAGTAATGTCCTTTAAACAATCGAGTAAATATACTTACATAAGAGATGCTAATAAACATTTTATACAGCTGTACAGATTATAGGAAGGTTAATTAAACAAATGTGACCAGCATGGCACAGCTACGTAAAGCGTCAGTCAAAAATAATTGTTATAAAAAGCTATAAGTTGGTCGTAGTCTTTGATTCAGTAGCATTATCAGTAGTAAAAAGAACAACGTTAGGTACTTTAATTAGTTCACAGCAGTTTTCATTTGACGAATTTACAGCTGTTTGAGTTTCTTTTAAAGCTACTCGACATCTAGTTTTGTTGAATTGTATTTTAGATGTTAGGCGGAGATTAGTTAAAAGATCATCCGATGGTTCCTCCAATTTGGTTTTTATCTCTCGTAATTTATCTTCTGGATCTTCCTTCTGGATGATATGGTTTCCGTCGCCTAATGTTAAATGCGAAGCATTTTTTGTATCATCATTACAGTGCTCATTTTCTTCTGGATCACGTGATTCACTATCGAACTCTACAACTGCTGCAGCAACTTCTGATTCATTTTCACTTAAATGACTACTTAAATTCTGTTCATCTGTTCCATTACACAACTCTTCAGTTTCCTTTTCAGAAGTCTCTATATTCGTTCCTCCTTGAAGTGTTTGTGCCAGCAGTGGCAGCACACTGGATGGTTCAGCACCTAGACCCGTACCTCCATCGATCTGATCATCTAGTCCACTGGTTCTTAGAGACCCTCTATTAGAAAAGTAATGTTGTAGCGATCTAACATGTCGCTTTTTATCTTCAAGACGAATAAATTTCTCATCACAAAGTTCACAGGAATAAGGTTTCACACCAGTATGAAGTCTTTCATGTCGTTCACGACAGAATTTTCGGTTAAAAGTTTTCCCACAGTATCTGCATCGATAAAACTTGTTGATGGGAGTTGACGGACTACTTTCCGATGGCTCTCCAGTACTTTTTTGTAGTGGTGGGAGAGGTAACCGATCATTTGTAGTCGCTGAGCGAGAAACACAATCATTCTCAAGTGACAGACTATTTTTATTTGCTGGAGGAAATCTAGTTCCAGTTGCCTTTTTAGTATCATTAGCACGATTACTATTGACCCCATCACCTGTGATGGTTTGGTATGTTCCGTTGCTTTCGTTTTTGCGTATTTTTAGTTTATTGTCTGACTCTCGATTTGCATTAGCACTCATACACCCTTTTATGGTTTGGAGAATTCTGTCTATAGCAGATGTAGTAGGATCAGAACTTGAAGTTGGAGCTTGACTGGAGTTAGATGTAACTTTTGAAGTGCTTTCCGTGACATAAGTCAAAGTTTTATCAGTTTTATGTGATGTTTGGTCGAATGAAGTGGTAGATGGGACCATATACGAATTAGTTGTGGTGGTGATTTCGGAAATAGCTCCTGTAGTCTGGATTACTGTGGATGTAACTGGAGTTTGGAGTAACACAGGTGAAGTTAGTGTTAGACTTGTAGACTGCGATGTAGGTAAACCCTGGAAGGACAATGCTGCAGGGACAGCTGTGAGAGGAGTTAAATGAGATGTACCAAATGCATGTGCAGATGCTGGAGTTAGTAAGAGATTCATTTCTGTTCCTCCACGGGGATAAGATAGCATAATAGAATTGCGAGTTGGCATATTCTGTGTTGGAGTAGAAACTGTATGACAAACAGTCGGTGCCTGGCTTGAAGTAATAACACCATTTAAGTTAAGAGTTGATTGAAGAATCCTATTAGTCAATATGTTGTTCCCATGGCCTGCCGATTCATCGAAACCAATTATATTTGCCTTTGTTGAGGCAACAACATTGACGGAGGAAGGAATGCTGTTTGTAATCAATGTTAGAGATGCTGGGGGATTGTACGAATTCGCATCAATGGTATTGGAATCGGTTAGTTCTTGGTTTGACTGTTTCACATTGGTCAAACTCCGTAGCAAGGCAGCAGCCACTAAGGCTGCGTTGCTATTAACGGGACCTGGTTGAGCATTATTATGCAACGTACTGGGTAAAACTGTTGACACAGGAGTCGACAATCCTGTATTAGATGTAAATATTGTTTCTGATGGATGTTGTCCAGTAACTGAACATGTTGCTGGAGAATTAAGTCCCAAGGTCCCAATTAAAGCTAAAGTAGGTCCCACTGAAAATGCCGGTTGCAATGGTTGCTGTTTTTGTATCTGAGCTTGTACTCCCTGTTGCTGTTGTTGCGTGACTAAAGATTGAAGAAGAGCAACAGGATTGCCTGATGTTACGGAAAACGATGACGCATTAGCACCTGGACTGAAACTGTTGATGACGTGGTGTGAATTAGGGTCCACTGTAGCTGTGGCACAACGTAGCCAGTTCAGTGTGTTTGCCAAGCCTGTCGAAGAACCAGTAATCGGATTAGCTGGTAGCGTAACACTAACTGTTGTCAGAGAATTATTTATAGAACAAGGCTGAACGACACCACTTCCTAAGGCTGAAGAAATAATATTCTGAGACGAGTTAGCAGACGCTATTGGTATTGTGCCCAGAATCTCTCCGGATGGCCCTGTTAAGGCTATTGAAGGAGTATTCAATGTAGGCATACTTGTAGTTAGATTTGACCCATTGTTAGCAACTGGATTACTATTACTGGACAGTGAAAATGAAGAGTTAGAAATCGCTGCAGCAACAGCAGCCGCTAAGTTTGAGTTTAATATAAGATTCTGATTTGTGCAAGATGAAGAACTAATACACTGTGTCATTTGCTGAGTAAACCCCGAGGGATTGACCGTTTCTGAAGCACTTGGACAAACTGCTGTACCAATATTGTTAGCAAATAGCAATTTGGAAGACCCATTTGTATCATTTCCGGATATGAGAGTTTTTCCAAGGAGAGCATTTATCGGTAGAATCCCACAGAGGTCCCCAATATCCCCCAAGCCCAAAGACTTCGCTGAAATGGCATACTTTGTGCCAGAACTTATTTGGTTGTTCACCAACGCCGAGACGTCACTAGTGGTAACTTGTGGACTTAAATACCTATTAACAGTAGAATAGTGCATGGGGACAAAAGAAACACTGGCAGCTGTTGGGGATGCAGATAAAACCGAAGGTGAAGGAGGAACATCCTGTAAGCTACTACTTAAAGAAATAGGTACCATATCAATGTCAGAATTCGAATTTGTAACTGATGGAATTTCTTTCATACAAGAGTTAGAGACAGTAACAATGACCTGTGGATCTATTCGAGGGACTTTTGCAGCGATATCTATATAATCTTGAGATTTAGATGTCTGAACTGAATCTTCGACGTCAGTAGCAACATCTTCGACATCACTATCTCCAGCGTGTGAATCAGAGTCAAAAACTTGGCGCTTAGGATTTCGACACTTCCTGCGGCAGCGGCGGTAGGCATTATCATCTGCGTCACATTCTGTTGATTGAAATACATCAGAAGGCTGAGTGACTAAAGCGTGTTCAGACTCGTTAGGATCAGGTTTTTCATCTGTTCGACCAACCCTACCAACCTGGATAATCGATGGTGGTAATAGAGGAGGTGAGGCACCAGGAGAGTGAGTAGAGCTATGCTGCTCACTTTCAATATCCTGTGAATAATCATCAGTAGCTTCAGTTTTGGTTGGATTATGGTCAGCAGAAATCTCAACAGAATTTAGTGTGGAATAATCGGAGAGATTCTTAAGCTTTTCAGATGCTCCTTCATTGGCAGCGGAAAATGAGGAATCAATCTTTATAAACTTTTCGCACCCATTATCTGTTGTGTAAGACAATATGCCCAAAACATCAAGTCTTTTGGAATATGGAACATTTTGTCGTATCAAGTCAGTCAGTTGTTTAACAAGCTCCTGATCACTATTATGTGGAGCAGAATAATTTTGCTTCGAAAATACAAGAGACATATGGCGATACTATATAAACAATCGATGTTCACCACTCACGTGAAACTGACCGGCAAGTAAAGACTGACGATGACGAATACTGGAAGCACAGTTAAAAGGCCGCCGACTTCAAGGTCACAATATACAATACAAAATACCATGTGAAAATATTAAATATTACCTTTGAAGGTAATGATTAATTGACATAATTTCCCAAAAACTTTCGTCAGCGCTCTTCGTTAAAGACAGTCGTTTAAAATATCTACCTAAATTTTCTAATTTAGCGAAAGTTTTATGTATCCAGAAGGTCATAAAAATTCTCAAGTTTTCACAAAGTGAAAACGTTTCATCAAAGGTTTTTAGGGTTGTTCAAAAATAATTCGAGATTTTCCATCACGGTTCCTCCAACATTCTTCCCAAATCTGATAAAATTTACTCCAAAATCGGGAAATTCTGTATCTAATATTTCAAATGGTCTTGGACGAAACAGAATAGGTCTTCGCACAACGAGTTTCAATATGTAGAATTAGTGGGTCACTGGCGGCTTCAGATAAAGACCTAGGTATATGTAACAAATAAAGGCGAAGTATCCATAAATTGTAGTGACATACTGTGTTTATTACCTAAGAGTAGATCAAATTTTTCTTCAAAGGTCCACTGATATATCGCTTGGACTAGCTCAGCCGGCAGCAAATTCCGGCATTCAACAACTGTTAAGGCGTAGAAGGCGTGCTTACAGTTCGTTCTGTTCTCTTGTATCTCAAATTTATGGTGGTATCACCAAGTTTTGTGTTAACGCCGAGCTCACTTAGCTATTCGAGGGGGTGTTTAAAAGTGTTTTGGATGTTATAAATCATAAGATCACCTGTGAGCCGCCTATATTTTGATGGCAAATTTTCCGTGGTTCGAAGAGATTTTCACATGTTTTGAGTTTAAGCCTCCTAACAACTTCGTAACTCACCTTTGGATGAGTTCAAGTGCGTCCTCTTCCTTGTGAAGTGAGGGGGTAACTACAATATTTTCACACTCTAAATGTGGTCGAATAAAACTGATGAAAATTAGATGGGAAGTTCTACTGTCAAACTTGCCAAAAATGTGCTCCAACGTTGCCGGCGCAAGACTTTAGATCAGATCTTTTCCAACATGGGATATTCATAGAGGGGAGTTAACTAAACTTTATGAATAGTCTAAAAACTGTCTTAGATAAATCTCTTTACACTTCGAATTGTTGAAAATAAGTTCGTCCGCTGAAACTCGAAGTCGAGCCAGATTCTCCTGAAGTGACGGCTTGTCACCTTGGTCGAAAATTTCTTCACAACGTTTCACACTGTCTATGAAAAATTATGAATCATACAATGCTTGATGAGGTAGGTCATGTATTTGAACCAAAAAGAGAAGGATTTCCAGTGTTCGGCCCTAAGGAAACCCACTAGAACATTCTATAACAAGTGAAAAGTTAAATTTACCCTTACTTTAAACTATCTCTTATTAAGATATGTTCATACAGGAGTCACCCTTCCTGACTCAATGTTTTCGGGGTGAAAATACGTTTATGGCTAACACGTATTCAGTCAAATCACCTCATACCAAAGACTCCACCAATTTTTAGGGCATTGAGAGAGTGCTTCCAACAGGTAGCTTTAAGGTTCATTCTGTCGGCTTCCTTTAAGAATGAGCGATTGTCGTAAACAGAGTTATGGCAAAGTAAATGCTCAAAAATCACGCTAGGTGGTGTTACTAATACCGAAGCAGCTACTCCCAGTGCAACAGAATGAGCCATAAACTGGCCAGTAGAAGTTCCCTTGTTAAAATACTGCATATTCTGGTACGTCAGACCAGTGCCCAAGGTTCACTTCTGATGGTCCTGTCGACTTTCAGACGAAGGTTTCATCGATGTAGTCTCAAAGCTACGGTTTAATTGTTTGAAAGCATTGTTATATCGTTGTTTATTGGGCCATAATGACCTAACTACCGGAAAACCCTGGTTTTGGCTTATTGGAGAGAGGCTGTGTGATGGAATAAGCTTTTCCGATTGGGGACACATTTTTCGAACGACTTGTCCTGTTAATGAAGCCTATCTTTATCTATCACCTTCGTATACTGGCTTCTTGCTTGCTTGAGTTATTAGTCCCCGTCCCTTCTACGTTTCTTCTTGTTTTAAACTGTTCATAAGTAGAATGGTCAGTCACAATACGTTTTGTGCTTATTTCTTGCTTCATATGGCCTGTCCAAATGCATTTGAGTTGGTATTAGTGTCTGCGCACGCAATGCTTCAATAATGGTAGCTACCACTCGGGAAGATAGGTGGGTTATAGTCAGTGTCCAGGGTCTAGGATTTCCTTTTTTCGTAGCTAATTGTCCCACTTTTCGGGTCAATATGTTCAAAACCTTTAAACAGCTATATAAACCCAGTCTGTATTATTAGGGCCTGTGTTATCCGGGACACCATGTCCAGTAATATTTCGTCGTAATAATTCTAATGAGATTTCGTTCACGAAGTGACATATCAGGCATTATCATAACAGGTCTCATATCACTACTAGTGGAATACAGAAAGCTTTCGTTAAACGGGCAGCATCGGATCGCAGATTATTCTAGACAGAGACTTTGGTACATGATAAAAGTAGATGAGTTCTTCAGAAGGACTGAACTTAAGACCTCTAAGTTAGTTCGTGATTGTCCTTTTGATACTCACCAGAGTTTGTTGTGGAGGAGGGAAAAACCTTGTTTATATTCTGTAAATTGGGCCATAAAGCAGGTAGAAAACTGTTTTGTCATCCCGGTCAAAATTTTGTTGCGAACTTACCCCTTCAACGACTATCGCATACACAGTTTTGCCAGTGTAAGATTTAGGCCATAGGGAACCGAAACGCCGAAATGTATTCCCACTAATTAGACTTCTAATGCATGACTATTCAAGTCATATGTTGTGCTTGTAACATATTATATATGAGCCACTTTAGACCCTAAAGTTGAAGGTTTGTCCAGGATTGACTTACCGACCTTGGGAACGAGTCAGAAACGCTGGCTTAATATTCATGTAGCTGGTTCCTCTCTAAAGTGCTGAATCACCAGGAAAATAATTAAATTTCAAAGGAAAAATCTGTTTATGCAAGGGGACAAGGTCAGAGATTCCAGTACCGAACATTCCGGCACCCTATTAGGACAACGTGCAGCCTGTGGAAATGACTGGATTATCCTGACTTTAGATAGATTACTTAAATAAAACGTAAGACCATCAAACAGTGGTGACTGAATGTTTACCGTCTTGAACTTGTTGTACGCGATTTTCTGACCCTACGAAAAGGTTTTGGGAAATCAAGATATTGTACATTAACTCTCAATCGTGTGTTGAATGTTCATAGTTCAGCTATGTCCACTGCACCTCGAGGGTTCGCAAAACGAGTACTACCTATCATGAAAGTATACCTTTAGTCTTAAAATACATTTATAGATATCAGATGGTCATATAAGTTGTCATAAACCAGAGGTATCGTAGTCGTAACGGGTAATGGAATGAGGGTCACATGGCGGCCGTTAAAACGCTTTATATCCTACCCTCTATAGGAGATTTTCAGGTGTCAGCTTCCACTTGTCTGGGATCATTCCCTGGTTCAGAAGAGCAAACTAGGGGCTCATATAAGTAAGACCAATTCGTTCATTATAGTGGAGTGACCATGCCCGCAAAGAGATACAACCTCCTTTGGATGATGTCGTTCGTATTGGCCGGTCTACTTCTAAGGTTTACTCTCTGGATTCCTGTGGTGCTAGAGTAGGCGATTTCGTTCGAATGTCCCGAACTACAGTTTAGCCACTGTCTCTGTGACACCATCCTTCGTATTGGTTGCAACTTTAGGACCCAATAACAACAAGTTTTGGTTTGTCTAAAGGAGTCGCATTACTAAGTAAACTATCATGATCAGGAGCGAAACTGTCGATGAGCTTAATCTGGTACTGGTGTTCGTCTTCTCTTGAGGTATTTGTAGAGTTTTGGGCCATCTGTATGCGCTTTCATAACTGAAGCGTCATTCAGCAAGAGTTCTTACTGATGGTCCACGTCAATCTGAGAACAGGCCTCTCACGTATATAGCAGCATCACTTATTACTCCTGTTTTCCTGACTATGAGAAACAAAGGGGTGATCTTATCCGCAACGCAACCATGTAAACTTAATGTACCGCACACTGTCATTTGTGCGTTCAAGTAACCACAGATTTTGTCATTTCATAGTGTATTTTTAATTAAATAACTAGATTCTGTAGTTAATTTTTCTCTATTTTTTTAATTTTTATTCGCCACGTCCGACTGCGTTACACTGTACGTCCATTGCACGCTGAGATGATATCTCAAGTCATAGTGAGTTTATTCACATAGTTGATTGTTTCCAGATAGACTGTCAGTGCATGATTTTACTGAAGAAAGGTTTGTTCTACTGTAAACTGTGTTTCTATGATCAACTCCCTGTTGTCTTCAGTATGAATTCATACTGCCCAAGCTACCAGCTTTGGGGAAATTTTGGGGAATTTCGGGGAAATTTTGGGGAAATCCCCAAAGTGAAATAGCCTTCCCCAAAGTTTGGGGAAATTTTGGGGTTTACCTATGCACCTCTGAAGAACTAGAGATTGCTGAGGTTGAGGCTGGATTTGCCCCGGTGGAATTTCCAGTTGTCAACATTTCAACAGGAACGTTTTCTCCGATTGCGAGGTTTGTACCTACTTTATCAATACTCATATATCAGTTCATCGAAAGCTGACCTTTCATCACCACCAATTCTACGTACGTCGACTGAAGGTGATAAACCGTAAGTTGCATTTACTTTATTCCTGATAACAAAAGTTTGAGCGATGATATACATCACATGTTCAGAAATATCCTAAAAGCGGTAACTGAACTATCTAGCAAGATGGACAGACTGATCGCTGTAAGCGAACGCTTAGCCATGGGTGTAAGTGAAAGGCGTATGGAAGATACGGATAGTGATGCAATCACTTTCCCATTACGAACGCATGACGAGTTGCGTTCTTTAGAGACAGCTTTAGAGAACAAAAAATTCCGGGATCATTTCGTAAGTTGTAACCGGTGTTTGAAGAAATTATAGATGGAAAGATTATACCATGTACTATGTGATGATCTTCGGAAATCAGCAAAAGCCTGTCTGAAATACATCCTTTCTCCGGAACTGGCAAACACGTACACCTTGCACGGAACCAGAAGTAAATTTGGTATTAGTAAGTACAACTTTTACTCGACGGTTCAAAGTAAGTCCACTTTACTGTATCAACATATTTGTAGGTGCTTTGTGTTCACACTTCCGGAGTGCGACCTGTTCGGAAAAGGAGATCACGCACGCCATGGCTACAACAAGCCAGGCCTTCTTGCATGACGCAAGAGATAAAGTACATAAACGTGGATGGCGATCCAAAGAAAGGGTGAGCTAAAACTACTTAATATGTTTGTTATAATACATATATTAACTTTGTCACACATTGTTCCTACTCGTTCCCCTTCCTACTCTTTTGTATATTGATTAATACCACTTAATAAAATTCAGTATTCAGTTGTATTCCCAATAACTGAAGTTCACTTTGGGGATTTCTCCAAAATTCACAGGATGTTAATCAGCATTGTATTTATCACTATAATCACTGTACTTTAATTACTGTAACAGCTTATGACTTTGTGATCAATACTGAAAGTGATATAACTTGTCTCTTGTATGTTTCCCTTTCAGCTGGCTTCGCAGGCTTTATCAGACGTAACTGTAAGTTCTTTGTTCGCATTATTAAGAACATTGTTATACTGTTGGTACATCATCAACCTTTCACATATCTTGACACGTTATTATACACTAAAAATGATTTATTTATTTATTTTTTAGAACATTATCAATGACAGTTCTACGTCTACGTAAGGTGTTGCTGTTACAACGCAATGAAAAACTTTGTATAAATGATTCATTTGTAATTTCATTAACTGTAATAAACATTTATATATTTCATAAATCAGTCTTTTGATAATCGCGACAAATCGGTTAACATTAGGTTTCATTAGCAATGCGCGATTGACGAAAAGTAATAAAACGTCGCAGTAAGAAATGTACGTAAGCATTCTCCTAGGTCTTCCGTGATGTCGATAGGCTTTCGAGAAGCTTTTGCGTCAAAACAGTTTTCCAGGAAAACCCAAAGGTTTGGGGAAGCTCCCCCAAAATGATATAGCTATCGTGTTCGTTTCCCTTTCACCCGGCTTCGCAGGCTTTAACAGACGTCACCATAGTGTATTTGTGCTTTTGTATATTGTTTTATACTACTTACAAGAATTCAGTAGTCAGTTGTATTCCCAATAACTGAAGTTCACTTTGGGGATTTCCCCAAAGTTACCCAGAATTTCCCCAAAGTTCCCCAAAATTTTCCCCAAAGTTCCCCAGGTCTGAGGAAATTTTGGGTTTTTTTTCTCATTTCCCCAAAATTTATTATAGCGGCTTCCCCAAAATTTCCCCAAAATGGACTCAATTTTCCCCAAAGTTGGAAGCCTGGGTACGTACGTCGATTGAAGGTGATAAACCGTAAGTTGCATTTACTGTATTCCTTATAACGAAAGTTCATCGCACAAATTTGTGCGATGATACAAACAAACTGTTAAGAACGCTCCTGAAATCGGTCAGTGAGCTGTCTACGAAAATAGACAAAATCCTATTTTTGTGTGGACGCTTAGCCATGGGTGCAATCGACAGGCGTACAGAGGAAATGGATAGTGATGCTATACATTTCCCATTAAGAACGCATGAGGAGTTGCGTTCTTTAGAGGCAGCTTTAGAAAACCAAAAGTACCGAGATCATTTCGTAAGTTGTAAAACATGTTCGGATAAATTTTAGGTGGCAAGATTATGCAACTTAATGTGTGACAATACTCGGAAATCAGCTAAAGCTTGTCTTCAATACCTTCTGTCGCCGGAACTCGCGAACACTTACACTTTGCACGGAACCAGAAGAAAATTCGGGATTAGTAAATACAAATTTTACTCCACGGTTCAAAGTAAGTCCACATTACTGTATCAACATATTTGTAGGTGCTTTGTGTTCACACTTCCGGAGTGCGACCTGTTCGGAAAAGGAGATCACGCACGCCATGGCTACAACAAGCCAGGCCTTCTTGCATGACGCAAGAGATAAAGTACATAAACGTGGATGGCGATCCAAAGAAAGGGTGAGCTAAAACTACTTAATATGTTTGTTATAATACATATGTTAACTTTGTCACACATTGTTCCTACTCGTTCCCCTTCCTACTCTTTTGTATATTGTTTAATACCACTTAATAAAATGAAGTATTCAGTTGTATTCCCAATAACTGAAGTTCACTTTAGGGATTTCTCCAAAATTCACAGGATGTTAATCAGCATTGTATTTATCACTATAATCACTGTACTTTAATTACTGTAACAGCTTATGACTTTGTGATCAATACTGAAAGTGATATAACTTGTCTCTTGTATGTTTCCCTTTCAGCTGGCTTCGCAGGCTTTATCAGACGTTACTGTAAGTTCTTTGTTCGCATTATTAAGAACATTGTTATACTGTTGGTACATCACCAACCTTTCACATATCTTGACACGTTATTATACACTAAAAATGATTTATTTATTTATTTTTTAGAACATTATCAATGACAGTTCTACGTCTACGTAAGGTGTTGCTGTTACAACGCAATGAAAAACTTTGTATAAATGATTCATTTGTAATTTCATTAACTGTAATAAACATTTATATATTTCATAAATCAGTCTTTTGATAATCGCGACAAATCGGTTAACATTAGGTTTCATTAGCAATGCGCGATTGACGAAAAGTAATAAAACGTCGCAGTAAGAAATGTACGTAAGCATTCTCCTAGGTCTTCCGTGATGTCGATAGGCTTTCGAGAAGCTTTTGCGTTAAAACAGTTTTCCAGAAAAACCCAAAGGTTTGGGGAAGCTTCCTCAAAATCATATAGCTATCGTGTCCGTTTCCCTTTCACCCGGCTTCGCAGGCTTTAACAGACGTCACCATAGTGTATTTGTGCTTTTGTATATTGTTTTATACTACTTACAAGAATTCAGTAGTCAGTTGTATTCCCAATAACTGAAGTTCACTTTGGGGATTTCCCCAAAGTTACCCAGAATTTCCCCAAAGTTCCCCAAAATTTTCCCCAAAGTTCCCCAGGTCTGAGGAAATTTTGGGTTTTTTTTCTCATTTCCCCAAAATTTATTATAGCGGCTTCCCCAAAATTTCCCCAAAATGGACTCAATTTTCCCCAAAGTTGGAAGCCTGGGTACGTACGTCGATTGAAGGTGATAAACCGTAAGTTGCATTTACTGTATTCCTTATAACGAAAGTTCATCGCACAAATTTGTGCGATGATACAAACAAACTGTTAAGAACGCTCCTGAAATCGGTCAGTGAGCTGTCTACGAAAATAGACAAAATCCTATTTTTGTGTGGACGCTTAGCCATGGGTGCAATCGACAGGCGTACAGAGGAAATGGATAGTGATGCTATACATTTCCCATTAAGAACGCATGAGGAGTTGCGTTCTTTAGAGGCAGCTTTAGAAAACCAAAAGTACCGAGATCATTTCGTAAGTTGTAAAACATGTTCGGATAAATTTTAGGTGGCAAGATTATGCAACTTAATGTGTGACAATACTCGGAAATCAGCTAAAGCTTGTCTTCAATACCTTCTGTCGCCGGAACTCGCGAACACTTACACTTTGCACGGAACCAGAAGAAAATTCGGGATTAGTAAATACAAATTTTACTCCACGGTTCAAAGTAAGTCCACATTACTGTATCAACATATTTGTAGGTGCTTTGTGTTCACACTTCCGGAGTGCGACCTGTTCGGAAAAGGAGATCACGCACGCCATGGCTACAACAAGCCAGGCCTTCTTGCATGACGCAAGAGATAAAGTACATAAACGTGGATGGCGATCCAAAGAAAGGGTGAGCTAAAACTACTTAATATGTTTGTTATAATACATATGTTAACTTTGTCACACATTGTTCCTACTCGTTCCCCTTCCTACTCTTTTGTATATTGTTTAATACCACTTAATAAAATGAAGTATTCAGTTGTATTCCCAATAACTGAAGTTCACTTTAGGGATTTCTCCAAAATTCACAGGATGTTAATCAGCATTGTATTTATCACTATAATCACTGTACTTTAATTACTGTAACAGCTTATGACTTTGTGATCAATACTGAAAGTGATATAACTTGTCTCTTGTATGTTTCCCTTTCAGCTGGCTTCGCAGGCTTTATCAGACGTTACTGTAAGTTCTTTGTTCGCATTATTAAGAACATTGTTATACTGTTGGTACATCACCAACCTTTCACATATCTTGACACGTTATTATACACTAAAAATGATTTATTTATTTATTTTTTAGAACATTATCAATGACAGTTCTACGTCTACGTAAGGTGTTGCTGTTACAACGCAATGAAAAACTTTGTATAAATGATTCATTTGTAATTTCATTAACTGTAATAAACATTTATATATTTCATAAATCAGTCTTTTGATAATCGCGACAAATCGGTTAACATTAGGTTTCATTAGCAATGCGCGATTGACGAAAAGTAATAAAACGTCGCAGTAAGAAATGTACGTAAGCATTCTCCTAGGTCTTCCGTGATGTCGATAGGCTTTCGAGAAGCTTTTGCGTTAAAACAGTTTTCCAGAAAAACCCAAAGGTTTGGGGAAGCTTCCTCAAAATCATATAGCTATCGTGTCCGTTTCCCTTTCACCCGGCTTCGCAGGCTTTAACAGACGTCACCATAGTGTATTTGTGCTTTTGTATATTGTTTTATACTACTTACAAGAATTCAGTAGTCAGTTGTATTCCCAATAACTGAAGTTCACTTTGGGGATTTCCCCAAAGTTACCCAGAATTTCCCCAAAGTTCCCCAAAATTTTCCCCAAAGTTCCCCAGGTCTGAGGAAATTTTGGGTTTTTTTTCTCATTTCCCCAAAATTTATTATAGCGGCTTCCCCAAAATTTCCCCAAAATGGACTCAATTTTCCCCAAAGTTGGAAGCCTGGGTACGTACGTCGATTGAAGGTGATAAACCGTAAGTTGCATTTACTGTATTCCTTATAACGAAAGTTCATCGCACAAATTTGTGCGATGATACAAACAAACTGTTAAGAACGCTCCTGAAATCGGTCAGTGAGCTGTCTACGAAAATAGACAAAATCCTATTTTTGTGTGGACGCTTAGCCATGGGTGCAATCGACAGGCGTACAGAGGAAATGGATAGTGATGCTATACATTTCCCATTAAGAACGCATGAGGAGTTGCGTTCTTTAGAGGCAGCTTTAGAAAACCAAAAGTACCGAGATCATTTCGTAAGTTGTAAAACATGTTCGGATAAATTTTAGGTGGCAAGATTATGCAACTTAATGTGTGACAATACTCGGAAATCAGCTAAAGCTTGTCTTCAATACCTTCTGTCGCCGGAACTCGCGAACACTTACACTTTGCACGGAACCAGAAGAAAATTCGGGATTAGTAAATACAAATTTTACTCCACGGTTCAAAGTAAGTCCACATTACTGTATCAACATATTTGTAGGTGCTTTGTGTTCACACTTCCGGAGTGCGACCTGTTCGGAAAAGGAGATCACGCACGCCATGGCTACAACAAGCCAGGCCTTCTTGCATGACGCAAGAGATAAAGTACATAAACGTGGATGGCGATCCAAAGAAAGGGTGAGCTAAAACTACTTAATATGTTTGTTATAATACATATGTTAACTTTGTCACACATTGTTCCTACTCGTTCCCCTTCCTACTCTTTTGTATATTGTTTAATACCACTTAATAAAATGAAGTATTCAGTTGTATTCCCAATAACTGAAGTTCACTTTAGGGATTTCTCCAAAATTCA